CCCCCCCCCCCCCCCCCCGCCGCCGCTGTCGAGCTCAGCAAGCTTTCCCCGGATTTTCGAGAAAGAGGAGAGGGGCCAGACAACCAGAGAAAACAGCCCACACCACGGCACTGACCACGGGTGAAGCAAGGGAGGGGCATTGGCGAAATGGAGAAGCCTCGTTCGCAGCAAATAGTCCGCGAAATCTGTCAAGTCACGTTGGCTTCTCTGGCTTCTCTGGGCCCATCTGGGCACCCTGCAAAAGGAAATTCCATGCCACCTCGTGATCGTGAAGAACCCGCCAGTCACGCCCCTGAGCGTGGCCCAAGACGGACAAGTCCCAAGCCTAACCGGGGGCGCGGGGCGCGGGGCGCGGATGAGGGTCAGGACCTTGCACCGTACAATGGAGGGGCTCTCTCTGGACTGTTGGCGCGGGCACCAAGTACGGTAGGTTCCCTCCCTTAATGGCACTGTGGATGATGTAGGATGGCGTTTGCCGGGGACAGTGTGGGTTCCCAGTTCAAACGGAGGAGCCGTCGATTGACGTCGTCTGGGGTCCGTCTTCGATCTGGATCGATCGCACCGGAGGGGAGGGGGGGAGGCCCGTTTTGCAGGACGTCAGCGAGTTTGGCGAGGGGACCGGTCAAAGTAAAACGGAGGAAAAGCAGCGGTAGTGGTCATACATGGTACTTACAGTAGTCGTTCGACACGGCCTGACACTTGCTGCTTTGATGCTTCCATGCCTGGCCGAGCCCCAAAGTGAAGAGACTTGAACTCATGAAAAAGAAAGAAAAAAGAAAAAAAAAGAAAAAAAGCCTGCGTCCACCACGACAACAGCGGAAGCAATGGAAGAAGCAGAGAACAATAGACAGCGGGGGTCAGGCGAGGGATGGAAGAAAGGGTATACATGGCGTCATAAGGCTTGGAGGGGCACTTTTGGAGGGCCTTCCCCACCGCCAAGACGAGAACACTGTGCACCCCAAGAGCCCACGAAGGGGCTCGCGCAACGTCAGCGGAGACGGTGGTCCTGAAAACGGCTCGAACCGTCACCTCAGCAAGGAGCCTGACAAGAGCTTGCTCTCTGTTGGAGAGACGGGGGAGGCGAGAGCGAGTTTCTGCGAAATGACGGTAGGAGAGGAGACGGAGGCGCTGGTCACGGCTCGCTCGTGGTAGCGAGTTGATCGGAGTCGTAGGCCAGCCATCTCCAAATTGCCCAGGTTGGACGATCCAACCGGTCGGACACCGGCAAGTTGCCAGTTTTGTGAAGCGGTACGGACGCCGGGATTTTGGAGATTCAGGTTTTTTTTCTTTGGGTTAGACGGGGGGGCGCAAAAGGCAGAATGGGGGGACCGGCACGTCGCCCGGTCAGGCCAGCTGTGATTACATGGTGCCTAGGTACCTATCTAGGCTGCTTTTACATGTAGGTACCTAGGTACTGTACTTGTCCTGCTTACAGGAGAAGCTGGCCGCCCTGTTTGTGCGTGCTGACTTGCCCGAACCTCTGGGGAAAGTTGCGTGCCTTGCGCCCCACCAACCTAGCACCTGCCTCTGTCTACTTTTAGGTCCTGCCCTTCGCGTCAGCACACCAGCAGAAGCTCGAGGAGGAAGCTTTCTTGTCCTCCCAAGCTCTCGCTGCAGTCAATAGGGGCACCTTGCCTCTCCAGAAACGAGAATGGCCAGCTCGGGGACCCCAACAGCGTCCCGATCAGCTGCCGGTCTTGCGGTGAGCAATCTCTGCGTCTCTCGTGCGTTCCTGAATGCATGTCGAGATGCGGGTGGACAGACGGGCTGTGGGAATGCAGGCGGTCGAGACATGGGCAGGGCCCCTCGTGGTCTCCATGGCGGGGCCCTAGGAGACGCCGCACCGTGGAAAGAGGGTACGTACCTGACAGCTCGCACCGTGAGGTTGCCTACCTAAGGAACCCAAGGTACAGTACTTTTAGGTAGGCACAAGTACATGTATGCTCGACGACATGACGATCGATCTGATCAATTCGAGTGACCCGAGCTCGAACGCCAAACAGACCAAACAGACGGATCGCCGTCGACGCTTCGCCGTCTCAGTTGTCGGCATGCACCAGCAGCTCCAGCCTATTGAGCGAAACAGGCGATCGACAGACACAAAGAAGCTGACCAGAGCCTCCAGCAAAAGCTTGCCGGCGCGCGGTGCGGTGGAGTCATTACGTGCTCTCAGCAGGACCCACCGACGCTCTAGAACCCAGGGCCTGGACAAATGGAGGGGCACCTGTAGGGGATGACCTCGCTGGCTTCGAAGGCTCGCAGGCGTTACGGCGGCGAGGGCAGGCCAGCAGATCATTCGCACCGTGCGCAATGCAGACGGACGACACAGTGGTCTGCGACGGGGGCATTGACATCCCTGTTTCGCCAGGGAAACGGGCGTCGTGACTGGCCCGCCCGGTGACGAACTGGCAAGAGCACCGCTTCTGGCCGCTGCTGGTTTCGTCAGTGTATAAGAGGTTGAAGTCATGGTGACTTCCCTCGTCGCGCCCGCCACCGTCTGTTTTTGCTGCCGCCACTCTTGCTACTTGCTACTTGCTACTTGCTACTACTTGCCTCCATTGATTGACGCTGAGAATCTGTCTTCCTCTTCATTAAGGCACCCAAAAAACTCTACCAAGAACCCTGAGCTGGAAGAGTCACAAATCACACACCAAGACGCCCAACGATCACTCACAACTTGTAAGTCGGTCATGACAAGCTCTGCCTGCCTCTGATCTGTCTCGAAATCTGCCTCTTGCCATGCCGATCTGCCTCTCCACCACCAGGTGGTGATGAAAGGACTCAGAAGGCAAATAACAGCAGACATTGCCCTGGGCGCAAGGCGAACCAGAAACAATGCCTCCTGGCCCTCAAGAAGCATCTGACAGTCCCTTATCGCGACGAGTCGTCGTATCTGGCTGGTGGCGCTTCACCCTCGACACCTCCCTCCCCCGCCCCTAGCTCAAGCGGTGGACTTGCGTTATCTTGAGCTGCCATGTATCAAGGAAAAACATGGCATTATCATATCGCATCACTCCTATCTCTTTTATCTGCTGCCCCTGACCTTCCCGCCCCCTGACTCTCGCTATCTCTATTCGCTTCTCGCTCCGTTCCAGAACCGGTCTTTGGGCTGCGGCGACCCAAGGGACGAGCACAAGCACGGCCGTCACTGCTACGAGACACTGCAACGACGAGTGACAAAGCTTGACCTTGCCATTGGAAGCTGCGTTGTGCTTCTGACACACCGCTGCCAACCCGTATGCTAATTACAGACTCTGCGCGTTACAGAACATTTCCGAGTCGATCTTCCCTATCTCAGCCACGAGCCCAATTGCTGCTTCTTTCGACACTGCGAGCTTTGCTTTCTGCATTACCACACCACACAACCTATACACACGGCATAACATGTCCACAGCCGCCACAATGTCGCAACCTCCCTCGATTCCTCCTCGCCCTTCCAGGAGTTCAGATCGTCCTGCTCAGGCCGAATCCCAACCAATGGTCCCGCCACGCCCTATCAAGCGGTTCGATCGCTCCATCTCTCCGAACCCCCACCGATTCGCGCCCTCGCCCATCAACGAGAGCCCCTTCTCCAAGAGCCCCAGGACGAGCCGCTTTCCCGACAGCAGCCTCGGCGGCCCCATCCAAGACCCTATCCAGCGCCCCGGCAGCGTCAACATGCCCTCCGTTGGCGAGGAGGGCAACGAGTACGAGGCCGTCCGGTCGAGCACCACGGCCAACCAGCGTCCCGTCTCGCCCGAGCAGACGAGGATGATTGCCGAGGACCTCAAGCTTCACGCCCCGAAGCCCTCCTTCTCTGCCCAGTCTGCCAAGCAGCGCGTCGCCACCGTCACTCGCACCGACTCTGACAAGGCTGCCTCCTTTGGCATTGGCAGGCCCAGCAGCGGCGAGCTGCCGCCGAGCTACATCAAGAAGAAGAGGTCCAGTATCGGACAGGCTTCTGAGGCCGGCAGCATTGAAGTCTTTGATGACGAGGAGCACGGCATTCCCGAGATTGGCCAGCAGGTGCCCTTGAACCCCCACCTCGGTGATGTCCAGGCCCCTTCGCCGGCTCCCAATGCCCACGGCCAAGAGTCTGCCAGGTCGCATACCCCTCGCCACCATGGACGCAAGCTCAGTTCGCGCGGCTACCCTGATGCGCCTCCCGGCAGCTACGGCCTCCACGGCCACGGCACACCCAGCAACGATAAGTTTGAGCGTGCTTGGTACGAGAAGCACCCCGAATCGAAGAAGAGGGAATCCCAGATCTCCCTCCACGATCGCCAGAATGACTTTGCCATGAGCAGCACCGATCTCAACAAGATTGTTCGCGACACCCGCGAGGCGGGCGTAGGTACGTCGAGTCAAGCGCTTAGTTCCTCTCCCACGTCTGACCAATAAACCAGGCACATCTACAAACTACACCGGAACGCCCAGTGAAGAAGTTGGGTACCAGGCTTCCGAAGAGTACGCTCATCGCATGCACTCCCGCCCGGGTTCTGCCGCCCCCAGGTCCCCGGAGCTGCGTCGCGCTTCTACCCCGCGCAAGGACTCCCCGGCCCCAGCCTCCGCTTCCGTCGCTGTCGATGATGATACCGATGTCATCCATGTCGATGCCGACCACAACCGCAGCAGGAGTTTCCTCAACAGCCGCGAGAACCTTGCTCAGGAAGATGAGTACAACACGCCCATCCTTGCTGCCGATGAAGTCGCCAAGAACCCTCATCACTACAACAAGGACGCCGCCGTCCCTGCCGACCGTCGCGGTAGCTTCCTCGATGATGAGAACTCCAGTCGTCCCAACAGCCGCCCCTCGAGTCTTTATCACCACGGCTCGCAGTCCCAAGTCGAGCTGACGTCGACCCCTCTGGAGGACGTCACTGAATACGAGCCTCTGTTTCCTGAGGAGGAGGAGCAGAAGAGGAAGGCTGCTGCCAAGGCTAACGAGCCGCGCCACAAGTTCCCCAGCAAGGATATCTGGGAAGATGCCCCCGACAGCGTCAACGCGACGGCCATGGTTTCGACGCCTGAGTTCGAGGAGGAAGATTTCAGTCCGTCGCACCACGAAGTCATCCGTACCGAGACACCGGCGCAGGCCTTTGCCAGGCAACAAGAGGAACTGGCCGAAAAGGAGTCGCGTCAGTCGCCCGAGAGCTACGGTCTGCGCCAGACGCATGTGCCCAGGCCTCACCCAGCCCAGCGAATGAAGTCCCATGAGGCGCGGCCCCATGCCAATCGCTTCCCCAGTCGCGATGTCTGGGAAGACACGCCAGAGAGTCTGATGCATGAGACCACCGTCGACAGCCCCGACCCCGAGTCTGCCGAGCCGAACGAGTCGAACGATGCCGCTGATGAGACCTCCGCAACCTCGAGGCCTGCGGTGCCTGCTCGCCCGCAAAAGAAGCTCTCCACCGACAAGCCTACAATTCCCGAGAGGCCCAAGCCAAGCTCGACACCGAGCGACGAGCGCCTCAAGCCCGTCATCTCCGACAAGCCGAAGCCTCAGGTGCCGGCGCGCCCCACCAAAACTTTGCCCTCGGGCGTCGATTCCAAGGAGCAGGATGCTGCCCCGAGGCAAAAGCCGGCGGTGCCTGCTCGCCCCGTCGGCAGCAAGATTCAGGCCCTGCAGGCCGGCTTCATGTCGGACCTCAACAAACGTCTGCAGCAAGGCCCACAAGCCCCCGCCAAGAAGGAAGAACCCCCAGCGGCAGACATGATTGAGGAGAAGGAGAAGGCACCGCTTGCCGACGCTAGGAAAGGCCGCGCCCGCGGTCCTCAGCGCAGGGCCCCTGCGGCGAAGAGCCAGTCGCAGGCCGCGGATCTTAGGTCCAGTGTGCCCACGTTGAGTTTCTCGCCCCTGAGGACGTGCTGGAGTATCGGTGATGATGGCATCCTTGAGATCGAGAACAGCAAACCTCAGCCAAAGAAGGAGGAGCCCGAGATCGAATTCGCACCCGAAGCCGTTGAGGAGGAGTCTGTGCCTGAACCAGAGTCCAATCCTGTCGAGCCTGCCTCGACAGCATTCGAAGCTGCAGAGAAGGGGATCGACAGTTTTGTGCCGAGCGAGAAGCTAGAGTCCGAGGCTGCCGCGACAAGTACCGAGCAGCAGGTCTCTCTCGAGGTGACAAAACCTCAGGAGACCGATGCTGCGCCTGTTGAGGAGCCGGCGGAGCAGGTCAAGACGCTGGCCAGCAACACGGCTGGCGAGCCGATCCTGGAGGCGCAGATTCAGCAGGCCGAGGAGGTGAAGCCTGTCGCGGTCCAGCAGCTGGGTGGCGAGGCCGCGTGAACTGGTCCTTGATAGAATTGCGACATTGCTTGTCTGAGCACGATTGCTGTTGCGGTTCGTTGTTTGTTTACTGCTGCTTTCATCTCTGTTCTCTGCTTGTCGTGGTGGTATGCCCATCATCAGTTACATTCCCTGGCTCAAGGCGAGCAAGCAAAAGAGGGGTTGGTTCGAAGCCAGCTCGTCAAGCGTTGTTTAGGTAGCAATACATGACATTGTCTTGCTCAAACCATGTTGAAGATTTCGGTGCCATGTTTGTGAGCTTGCGATTGTTACCCCTTGCAGACGGAGGCTCGTCATCACGGCTGGGCAGTCATGCCGTCCAGCGTAGCCCCCGCAGTCACTCACGCCGAGACCATGGAGAAGCGCGCGCTCCGGCTAGAGCAAAAGTGTAGCAAACTGGGCGTCATGGAGGTGCCCGAGGGCGAAGACGCCTCCGAGGTCCGCGACTGCCGCGAGCATCCCACGAGGCTCCTCCAGCCGGGCATGAACCCGGGCGACGCCCCCTCCCGCCAGTCGTCGCCGTCACGTGACGCCCTGTCCAAGTGGCTACTAACACCATGTACGTTGGAACCAGGCCTTGACGAAACAGGGCCTCTAGTAAGGAGGAGAAGGAGAGGAAGCGGGCGCGGCCGCTTGGCAGTTTCTATAAAGCGAACCGCCCACGCTGGGTCCTGTCTTTTGACTGACCCCGGTTGCCCGGCTCTTTAACACGGCGCAGCACACTTGAGCAAACCCCATCGCTTCTCGGGCCCAGGCTCCCTCTCTGTATCCACCGGCATCTGGCTCGCCGTCGGCGGCATCGGCCACTGTCCGTGGACCCCCGACTGGCGTCAGAGTATGGAGGTGCAGTCCGTCCTGCTCGTGATCACTCACTTCCTGGCCTTGGGCTGCGCGGCGGAGGCGTGGCCGGGCTGTGGGTCTCCCTTCTTCTCGGCTGCTGTCGTGGGCTTCGGGTTGGTTACGAGCTGGGCGTTCCTCTCACTGACACGGCCCTATGTCTTCCAGGGGCTCTTCTGGTCGCTTTCGGGCCTCTACGCTGATCTGTTGGTGAGAGGCCCACGGGCGTGGGCGCGGGCCTGTGGAAAGAGGCTGGCTGAGTCGGCGGTCGGCGCGAGGGCATCCAGGGTGCGAGGCTAGGGGACCGCAATATGAGGGGAGCTGCTGGGACTGGAAGGGCCGTGGGAGAAATCGCCTGAAAGTCTGTGAAATCGGGCTTCGTGAGAGCCGGGAGCCGGGTGCCGAGAGCTGAGAGGTGGTGGTCCGGGGAGCGGCCCGAGCCAGGATGGATTTTGCTCGGCAAGGTTAATAGGGCAGCGAGGCGCTTGGAGAACGAAAGCCCACCTCCCTACTCGGCCCTGCCCGGTTCGGCCTCTGGCTGGACCTCGTCCCTGGCTGGGATCCCGCTGTGTATAACGTGGCAGGGGCGGGAAGAGCTCGGAATACTTGTATCGTGTCCGTTGGCGCGATTGACCGTTGGCGCCAAGCTAGGCAAGAGAACGGCCTGCAGGAACTTGGCGAACAGTAAGGTAAGCTTAGTACATGGTAAAACCTTCAAGCGCTCAGGTGACGGGGGTGACGGGTGGCCGGGTGGGGAACTGTTACTGGAAATATCGTGTCGTCGCCCACTTCAGGGCGGCCAAGCCACGTGGTTGATCTGGCTACCATAGGCTCTAGATAGCGCTTTTCTATTCAGTCTCGCTAAGATCAATCCTAAGCACAAGACGTCTCTAGTAAGTTGGTCCTTCGGAGATGGTAGCATGAGGGTGGACGCATAGAGATCCAATATTCGTCAACCGTCCCACAGACAGTCCTGATCCCGGATCCGAGGCGATCTCCCAGTCCTATTCAATACCTTGACACAGACCGAAGAAGAAACTGGAGATATGAAAGATGGTGCTAATGGAGAAGACAATGGTGATGTCTCACTAACGATCTTGACTCGTGAGAAGCCACACTAGAACAAGCGAATCCTCCAGCTAGAAAGGTGTCCGACAGTTCAGGCTGCCTCGTTGAACTTGGTATAGGGTCAAAATCCAGGAGAAATTATTATCAAAAAGCAAGTGGTCCTGGCAAAAGCCTACAACTTCTGAGAATTCCGTTTTCCAAAGAAGCACTCCATTTGAGGAACAATCCAACACAGGGCCTCAACTGCCTATATCTCTTCAGATATCACATCTTCAGGTTGACAGAACGCTCGAAAAGACGGGCCAAAGCTTCTACTCCACAACTTTTGTTTTAATCAAGAGAGGGTGCACACGAGGAAAAGTGTGAGGTCTCCAGCAGAGCTTTCAGCCCTACGTACTTAAATAACATCTATATCGAGAGCTTATGAGCCATCTCACGAGGCTTTCCTGAGGATTGGCTATAGCGTGAGATGGGACGGGTCTTCATGAGAGGAGTCTCAGGTAACGCCATGTACGTGGGAGTCAAAATGCCTCGTATGTCCACCTATAGCTCTCTTCTTAGAAGGTTGAAGAACTGATGTCCCTCTATAGTTTACAGGCTGCTTGTTGAGAGGGCTTCACTGCTTATGTGAACCCCTATTCAGTACTTTGGCTGTGCCGGTGAGCTCTGAATAGGTAAGGTAGATGAAATAAGACTTGTAATGTGATTGATGCTATCTCTCTGAATTACCACTACCGACGTGAATCAGATATATCCGTCTGATTCACCGATCACGTACGCCGTGGTTCACGTGCTCCTTAGAGCTTTGAATCCCGGCCCCGGTGATCACCGCCCTAGGCAATTCCCTAATATTGGTTCAACACTGCTAAAGTTGTTCGCATTGTCAGGTGGCCCCTATGGAGCCACGGAACAGGGGCTTGGTTAGGGGCTAAGAACTACGCGAACGTGTATATAAGGGCTGCGGAGGGCCAGAATTCAGATATATTGCAACCCCATACCTATCATCTACTGCCTGCGGACTGTGCGCGGAAGACCTCTTCACTCTGTAGGGCAGAGTCTGCCCTACCCATACTCTGACACTACGTCCGTTTCTAGCGCCCAGACTAGGTAGTTAGTGCTCGAACATTGCTTCACTGTGGCCGTTTTACGGTCATGATGTTTGATATTCGTCTCTGGTCTCGGTCTTCATTGTCATCTGCCCGGACACAACGCATGGTTATGTCACTATTCTGAAGATGAAGGCGGCAGCACTGGCAGGATGGAGGTTTGAATTTTACAAAGTTTTTGTATGTAAATGTTGCCTAACTTGAAGTCAAATGAACAATACAGCTTTCTGAGTACAAGGAACAGCATCTACCTCGCTCTTATCATTGAAGTGAACAATTCCAATTCACGGAGCTAATTTGAAGATGTGGCCTGCAGCATGTGAGCAACAAGTCGGAAACTCTGGAAAATCCGATCCGAATACCTCAAGTAGACCCAGTCCATCTACCACCCCTAAAGAGCCTGTAAGCCTATACCTTTGTTTTCGAGAATGAGAAGGTTGTATATTTCTTGCCGGATCGGTCGCGATTGGTCTCTCCACGGTTTCGGTACCCGCGAGCTATGTGACACTAAGTATTTACGTCAACATATGTACGAGTTGACAAAGGTCCTGGGCTTCAGCGGACCAATGGCCCCTCTGATTCAAAGCACCCACTTGTATCTCTTTTTTTGTTTCCCAGTTGCTGACCAGGGCATAAGTGACCCTCTGTCAGGGGACCCTGCGGGTTTCCTGCGGAGCCGCCAAGCAGGGGTCGGCTAGGGGCTAAGGGCTACGAGAACGTATGTATATATAGGCTGCGGAGGGCCCTCTAAGCTATAGAGGGCTAGAATTTAGATATATTACGACCCCAACCTATCTTCCCATCTACTGCGGACCACGTGTGGAAGACCTCCTCACTCTGCTCTAACTAACGCTCTGACACCCTCCAATGCAGGCCGTAGCGACGAACTCGCTCTAGCTTCTGGATACCCGAGGCATCGCTCAAACCTGTCTCCTTCTCGATCTTAACCAAGATCCCAAACAGCCTCAGGCGTCGGAGGGCACTAGCCAAGGATGAACGCGCGCTACTTTGACGTACTGCTGGCATGGCGGTGCCAGGACCTCGTCGAGCAGGTGCATGTCCCTTTTCGGCCCCTTAACCCAGCGTCTCTGGTCTGTCGAGATGCTGTTTACTGATCTACTCTGGTACGCAATAGTATAGGGACTCGATCAGCCTCCGAAACAGCCAGGTCGCCAGACTCAAGATGGAGGGTTCGTACAAGCAGACTACCACAGTACTCCAGTTGGCAGAGCATCAGGGTCGTGAGTCTCGCGTGCTCAAGACGCTAACGTTCCTGGCTCTCATCTATGTGCCAGCATCTTCGCTGCCGTACGTTTTCCCCATCCCGTCTGACACATCTTGATCTCGACAGGAAAAGCCTCAAATCTATGGCTGTGATCTCGTCGCCTTGGTACCCTCTACTGACCCAAGATGTGAATCTTGGACAGGACGTGCTACTGATGGGCTACATTGAGACCCGCACCGAGGATGGTGGCCTTCGGCTGCGAGCCTCGACTGGCCTGGCGCTTTTCGCGGCTCTGGCCTTGCCTCTGGTGTCCGTCACTGTCAGAGCGTTGTTTAGAACAGAGTGAAGGGGTCTTCCACAGGCAGTTAGAATATAGGTATGGGATAGGAATACATCTGAATTCTGGCCCTCCGCAGCTTTGGGGGGGCCCTCCGCAGCCTATATATACATTCTCTTGTAACCCTTAGCCCCTGGCCAGCCCCCTGGCTTGGCAGGCCCTGGGTGGCTCCGCAGGGTCCTGACAGTCACGATGGGTATACACTGGTACGCGGAACACGTCGTCAGCAAAGCGGCCAATCTCCAGCGGCGCAGCAACCCTAATTTGACCGTACACGATGACGTCTGGCTTGTTTATGGCCGACGCTGCCGCATTATGAGTACAGCACAGGGCTTTATTAGCGCTGCAGCTAAGTCGACCTGGTTGAAATTTTCATCTGGTTTAGCCAGCGGGTCACTTTGTCCGACGAAAAATGGACAAAGCCGGGAAGACCACACGTCGGTGTCAATCCAGGACTTGATGTCAAGGTCAAGTCTTTCTCACCGAGTCTCCTTGGATCATCCCGACATGCAGGAAGTAGATGGCGACGGAGCGGAGCAGAGCAGTGCAGCAATTGCAAGCGCTTCAAGGGTCGTCAGGCGGGGAGAGTGCTCTACAGTCGAACTTCTTGTCGGCATTCGTTGACCTGGTATAGGTGCTGAACGTAATGATAATGTCGCAGACCCTTAAGCCTATATGCGGCGCGTTGGTAGGCCTTGACAGCTGAACAGTCCACAACGCCATGTTAAACTGGCGGCGTGGTCAGTCAACTGTGTCCCCTGAAAGCTTGGTATCCCTTGGGGCTGGCCCCAGGAACGACTGTGAGGTATCCCTAAAACAGCTGGCATGACTTGAGGTTGTTGGCCCCAGACCAAGATCAAGCCGGACTCAGGACAATAAGTCGGCCGAACCAATGCTGCGTGACCCAGCCTTTGACAGCCTACCACCGGTCCTCATCTGGTGGAAAAAAGATCTAACGGTGTTGAGCTGCAGTGGAGCACTCGTATATCCTAAGCACCTGTCATCGCTTAATCTCGCATATTCGCGTTGAACCTCATTGCTCTTCTTGTCATCCCCTATAGACCGCCTCGCTGGTTATTTCCTTGATTCTCCTCCAGAAGGCTATAACAAGACCTCCCGAATATCCGGCATTCAAATCATCATGGCCAACCTTCTGAAGGCGGTCCTTGCCGCCAACTGTGCTTCGTGCAGCTCGCCGTTGCCATCCCAAGGAGTCAAAGTCAGACACTACGCCAGCCTTTTAGTTTCCTGGTCACCCCAGCGATCAAGGCTATGAGTTAGTGTACGTCGATCCTAAGACCCATAGTCTGGTCCAGAAAAAGGTCGACGGCGTCAGTAAACATAGCAAGTGTAAGATCTCCTCCTCCTCCAGCAAACAACAACGAGTGGGGACCAGGAAATTTACTGATGGCTCTTCAGACGAAGACCCTGTCATCTCCATCATTCGTAAGAACAAGCCGGAGAAGTTTTGTCGGTCCTACTGCCCTAGTCAGTGTGCCTCGTCAAAGCCGCAAGTAAAGACAAGCAAGTCCACAACAACCGTGTGCCCTTATGGATGCAAGACAACCGTTCTCTCAACTGCCACCGCCCCTCGACCCGTTGCCACCGTGACTAGGGCTTTGACCACGGTCCTGACAAGGCTATCAACCGTCAAGGCCCCGACGTCCACCATCCTCACCACGGTCACCGATGCTTCGAGCGTCACAGAGGTCACGACAACCACGACAACCTCCGTCATATCCATCTACTTCAAGGGTGACACTCCCGTCCCTGGCGGCCTCGACGAGCGCGACGCCAGGGTTCCCTCCTATCTCAGGAGGTACTCGCGCCAGCAGATCTGCAACGCCTGTGCCGTCGTGTACCCCCCTTCGCGCGGCCCAGCCCAAACACTCAAGAAGGTCGTCACGGCCACCATCTGCGAACGACAACAGCCAGTCATTGGCATCTCGATCACTCCTCCCGGCCGCTTCGTGGAGTTCGGACACTTCGAGACAGCACCGGGTGCTGCGCCGCCTGCTTCCGGTGCCAAGGCTGCCAGAGCTGGGCCTTCCTCAAGGCCCGTGATGCCAATGGGTGCGCTATTGTTGTCGACTTTAACTTCGGCGACGGGACGGCTACTGCTGAGTGTCCCGCTGGCAGGGGAGGCGGCCAGCTCTTGGTAGCGCCGTCCGGGTCGGAAAGTTCTGGGCCTGGGCAGTGTTCGGCTTAGCCAAGGAGGCCTGTTGGCTGGCGGTTGAATAGTAGGGTATATAGTTGGATCGGTGAGAGTCTTCGCGTTCCAGCCCTGTCATGTTTTGATCCAACACTTTCTAATGAGTACACTTGGACATGTCAGCATACCATGATTGGAGTGCACAACGCTGGCCTTGTGTTTGGCTGGGCTTCGACAGGGCATCAGTCTTGTCGTAACATTCAGCCTGAATGGTTTCATCACAGGTCCAGCCCTACCACCACGGGCCTACGAAGTCACATTCTGCACTGCATTATTCGTAGGCACTGGCTAGACTATGTGACTCTTCCCCTTCCCCGTGCATTATGCCAATCCCCCAGAGTCACGCGTCCAGACCCTGCACCTTATCCTAAAGGGGAACCAACGCCGAGCCATCCGACTAGGCGCGCCAAGCTCAAGCAATTAAGCCCCCTCCCCCTGGACAGGGGTCGTTACATGGTACACGTCTGACAGCTGATGGTGCTGACGGCGCTGGATGCTGCCCGCCTCGGCATTCGCTCTCTCTTTTTTTCATGTTGAGCTGTTCAGCCGCTCGCTCTCACCTGTTGGCGGCAGCAAGGAAAGCAGCCTCAGCGCCCATCACGACTTTTGAACGCCCCCATGCCATGACATGCCATGGCGCTGCTCATTGCGCCCACGAACCTCGGCCGCCCCGTCCGCCTGCTCGCATTTGTACTGATCGTCGCTGTCCTGGGTCTACTGACGTGGGGTCGCTATGACCCGCGTATCGGCTTGGGGGGGTTCACCCGCGTGCGTGCTGATATCCTTGGATTCGTTGATCCACTGATCGGGACCCTCAACGGAGGTGGGTTTTCTCAGATGGTCATCCTCCAGGCAAACAAGAGGACTCAACCGGATGACCGTGTGTAGGCCATGTGTTCCCCGGCGCGACGCTGCCGTACGGTATGGCCAAGGCCGGCCCCGACACGGATAATCGAGGGGAGAACGCCGCGGGCTGGGTGTCTGACGACTCACCCATCACGGGTTTCTCTCATCTTCACGATTCAGGTATGCCCTCGCCCTGGAAACCCAGACGTATGATGATCTCTGACACGTACAGGAACCGGAGGTGTACGTATGCGCCTCTACCACATGAGTTTCCGCCAGCTAAATGTCATAGGCCCCCTCGCTGGGAAACTTCCCCCTGTTCGCTCACCCTTGGTGCCCAAACGACGACCCCAAGAGATGCAAGTATACGACGCTGGAACGGAAGACGCTGCGCGCGCCGAGCTCGGTCGAGGCACGCGTCGGCTTCTTCGCCTTGAACCTGACGACCGGCGTGCGCGCCGAGATGACAGCGTCGGCGCACGCGACGCTCTTCCGCTTCACCTTTCCCGAGGGCGCCAAGCCCCTGATTCTCCTCGACGTCGAGGACATTGCGAGCAGCCGCAGCGACGGCGGCATCAAGGTCGATCGCTCGTCGGGCCGCATGACGGGCTACGGCACCTTTGCCCCCTCCTTCGGCACGGGCACCTACAAGGCGTTTTTCTGCGCCGATTTCGCCGGCTCCCACGTGCGCACCGCCGGTGTCTTCGCCGGCTCCGAAGCCACACCGGGCCTGCACCAGTGGGACGCGCTGCCGTGGGGGTCGGCCGGCGCCTGGTTGCTCTTTGACGAGACGGGGCCGGACGGCATCTTTGCGCGCGTCGGCGTGTCCTTCGTGTCGTCGGCGCAGGCGTGCCACAACGCCGAGGAGGAGATCCCCGAGGTCGATCTCGACACGGTCGAAGCCGAGGCGCGCGCGGCGTGGGCCGACAAGCTGTCCTCCGTCTCGGTCGACGCCGTGGGCGTCAGCACCGAGCTGCAGACCGTCTTCTGGTCGGGCCTCTACCGGTCGATGCTGTCGCCGCAAAACTACACGGGCGAGAACCCGCTGTGGCAGTCGTCCGAGCCGTACTTTGACTCGTTCTACTGCATCTGGGACTCGTTCCGCGCGCAGCACCCGCTGCTGACCATTGTCGATCCCGTCGCCCAGGCCGAGATGGTGAGGGCGCTGCTCGACATCTACCGCCACGAGGGCAAGCTTCCGGACTGCCGCATGTCCTTTTGCAAGGGGTTCACGCAGGGCGGCAGCAATGCGGATGTCGTCGTCGTCGATGCCTTGGTGAAGGGCATTACGGATGGGATCGACTGGGAGACGGCGTATGAAGCCATCGTCTCTGATGCCGAGAGTGAGTCTTTTCTTTTTTTTTTTTCTCTCTGTCTGTCTTGACACCATTGGTTTTTTTTTTCTGGTGATCTTCTTTCCCGTCTGAAACTAACGGCTGCAGTCTCGCCACCCTCGTTCAACGTTGAAGGCAGAGGCAACATCGAGTCGTGGCAGCAGCTGCACTACATCGCCTCGGACCACCGCGACGCCAACTCCACCGGCCCTCACTCGCGCACCGTCTCGCGAACAGTCGAGTACGCGTTCAACGACTTTTGCATCGCCACCATGGCCCGCTGGCTGGGCCACACGGGCGACTTTGCCAAGTACGCGCAGCGCAGCACGTACTGGCAGAACCTCTGGAACCCGGCACAGATAGACCTGCCGCCGGCGCCGGCGGGCGACCTCAGCAGCGGCGCGTCCCCGAGCCAGGACCCCACGGCGGCGTCCACGTTCGTCGGCTTCCTCCAGCCGCGCCTCGCCAACGGGACGTTCCTCTACCAGAGCCCGCGCGTGTGCTCGCCGACGTCGGAGCCTCACCTCTGCTACTACGACACGAACGAGTCGACGTACGAGGGGTCGCCGTGGCTCTACACGTTCTACGCGCCGCACGACATGGCGACGCTGGCGCGCCTCCTGGGCGGGCGGGCGGCGCTCGCGGCGCGGCTCGAGTACTACCACGGCAGCGGGCTCGCGTACCTGGGCAACGAGCAGGCGTTCCTGACGGTGTTCCAGTTCCACCACGCGGCGCGGCCGGGGCTCAGCGCCAAGTGGGCGCGGGCGTACGTGCCGGCGCAGTTCAACGGCACCATGGCGGGGATCCCGGGCAACGACGACGGCGCCATGGGCGCGTTCGCGGCGTTTGTCATGATGGGCTTCTTCCCCGTCGCCGGCATGGACGTGTACCTGCTCACGGCGCCCTTCTTCCGCGAGGTCAGGCTGCGGGCGAGGAGGCCGGGCCGCGAGGCTGTCATTCGCAAGGTGGCGGCGCGGGGCGAGGATCCCATGGCCGAGGGCATGATGTATGTGCAGAGCGTCAAGCTCAATGGGCACACGTGGACGAAGAGCTGGATCACGCACGACTTCTTTGCCCAGGGCGGCTTGCTCGAGGTCAAGGTCGGTAGGGGGGAGAGTGCATGGGGAACAAACGAGGAAGACCTACCACCGAGCTGGGGGTTTGAGGAGTTCAAGGGAGGAGAGGGTCAGGCCCCGGATGCCGAGCCATCGCATTCGGTGGGAGAGCACATGGGTTGATGCTCGGGGCAGGCGTCATAGTGTTAATAGAATGTGAAGTGGCAGGATGTTGTTGAGTATGGACCTGAAAGACTCTTGTGAACGGAGAGTGAGGCTCAGACATGCTGGCTGTCATTTCAAGACTATCCTGCTCAGCCTTGGCCTGACAGATATGCATTATGCATAATGAATAGATAGCTGCCTCCACAGATGACTCATCTGCTTCATTATTCGCCAGCTAAGAAACCCCAGCGATGAAGCTCGTGATGATAGCTAATAACCCTAGGTGCCTTGCCAGGGTTAGGCTTGGGTTAGGGTTATAACTCCTGGGTACCTAGCACAGTAATCGAGCCCCTCCCATTGGCCAATGCCTCGAGGAGACGGTGCTCCGTAGCGGAGCCTCCCTCGGTATCTTCTGGTTCCAGTGGCAGGTAACGGAGACAGCAGTACCTCGAGGGACTGGCCAGTCCCCTGTGGCACTCCCCTGAGCCCCCCTGTAGCGTGCTCTCGACAAGTCCCCTCATGTATCGGCTCTACGCTTTCTCTCGGTTATTGCAACCGAGGGCTTGTCCGCCAATCTTTGGCACTCGTCCGCGTTGCAGCACTGCGAACGCCGCGACAACGCCCGTGCTTAAGCCGGGGCATCCCACCCCCAGAACCCACATTACGTATTGGAAGCTGTGGCCCAAGTCGCCCGCCAACATTTTCATTTCCATATGCCGCCGCAAGCCAGAGAGTCACATCTTCGACCGCATCACCACCTCGACACCCCTCCTCGCCCCTCCTCCCTCCTCCCTCCTCTCGCAAACCACCATCTCACATTGTTCTTGGATTCTTGGTAGACAATAGCGTTCCTCTTCTCTCCTTTTTTGTTTTCTCCCTCACCCAGTTCTGACCGTCTGGCCACCCCCCTCCCAGACACTCCTCACTGCCTCGCTCGCCACCATGTCTTCCTCCCGCAACCTCCAACGCACCACACGCTCCATTGCGCGATGGAGACCCCTCCCCACAATCAGCACAAGGCCATGTCTCTCCTCGACGACAAGAACGACAGCTGCCGCCGCAGTCACCCCTCGAACCCTCGCCGCCGCCGCCGCCGCCGCCGCCCTCCCCTCCATACGCGCCTTCACCACCTCAAGACCCCGCCTCTCCCATGACGACGAGTCCTTCGACCCCGCCTCCATTGAACGAGAGTCTGACCAGGTCGACGTCTGCATCATTGGCGGCGGTCCTGCCGGTCTCAGTGCCGCCATTCGCCTGAAGCAGCTCGCCAATGAGGCAGGCAACGAGGACTTCCGCGTCCTCCTCCTCGAGAAGGCTGGCGAGATTGGTGCGCACATCCTCTCGGGCGCCGTCATCCAGCCGACGTCCATCGACGAGCTGCTGCCCGACTGGCTCTCCGAAGACAATCCCGACCGCTTCGAGCACGCGACCCCCGCAGGCAAGGACCGCATGCGCTACCTCACCAAGACGCTCAGCATTCCCCTGCCCACGCCCCCCCAGATGAACAACCACGGCAACTACATTGTGTCCTTGAACCAGTTCACAAAATGGCTCGGCGAACGGGCCGAAGAGCTCGGTGTCGAGGTCTACCCCGGCTTTGCCGCCAGCGAGGTCCTCTACCACCCTGACGGCAGCGTCAAGGGTGTCGCGACCAACGATCTCGGCATCGCCCGCAACGGCAAGCCCAAGGACTCGTTCGAGCGCGGCATGGAGTTCCACGCCCGCGTCACCCTCTTCGGCGAGGGCTGCCACGGCTCCCTGTCCAAGGCCGTCATCAAAAAGTTTGACCTGCGCCGCGACAGCCAGCACCAGACCTACGCCCTCGGCCTCAAGGAGGTCTGGGAGGTGTCCCCTGACAAGTTCAGGGAAGGGCGACATCACACACAGCCTCGGGTTACCCCCCTCGACAAGGACACGTACGGCGGGCGGCTGGATGTACCACTTTTGGCGGAAAATCTCGTCAGCGTCGGCCTCGTCGTCGCCCTCGACTACAAAAACCCCTGGCTGTCGCCGTACGGCGGGTTCCCAAAAGTACAAGCAGCACCCCCCTCCTCCGGTTCCGTCCTCGAGGGCGGCAAGTGCATCTCCTACGGCGCGCGTGTCCTCAGCGAGGGCGGCTTCCAGAGCATCCCCAAGTGCGCCTTCCCCGGCGGCGCCCTCATCGGCGACTCGGCCGGCTTCGTCAACCTGCCCAAGATCAAGGGCACCCACAACGCCATGAAGTCGGGCATGCTCGCCGCCGAGGCCGCCTGGACCGCCCTCGCCGACGCGCCCCCCGCCGCCGAGGACGCCAGCGCCGTCTTCCTGTACGACTACGAGGACAAGCTGCGCGCCTCCTCCATCTGGGCCGAGCTCAAGGAGGTCCGCAACTTCCGCCCCTCCTTCCACACGCCCCTCGGCCTCTACGGCGGCCTCGCCTACTGCGGCCTCGAGGCCTACCTCTTCAAGGGCCGCGTGCCCTGGACCCTGAAGCACGGCAGCCCCGACCACGCGTCCACCGGGGCCGCCGACGCCAGCCGCAAGATCGAGTACGCCAAGCCCGACGGCGACATCTCCTTTGACATACTCACGAGCGTCAGCCGCACCGGCACCAACCACGAGGAGGACCAGCCCGTCCACCTGCAGGTCAAGGACTGGGAGAAGCACGCCGCCGAGACGTGGCCCAAGTACAAGGGTCTCGAGAACAGGTTCTGCCCGGCGGGCGTCTACGAGTATGTCGAGGACGACACCAAGGAGCTCGGCGTGCGGTTCCAGATCAACTCGCAAAAGTGAGTTTGTCATTCGTGCGGATCTCTCTTGCATGTGCTAACATGGAGACAGCTGCATCCACTGCAAGACGTGCGACATCAAGGCGCCCCACCAGGACATCAACTGGCAGGTGCCGCAGGGTGGCGAGGGCCCCAAGTACTACATGACGTAGGACTGTTGTTCTTCGCTCTGTTCGAACAATGGACATCGCTCCGAGTTAAAACAAAGGGGCGGGGTTTCTTAGACGGGTGGTGGGCGTTTCTTGATGACCTGGTGGGACTCATCCCGGCTCAGCTGGCGGGGGAGTGTAGCAGGAGGCCTTGGTAGCATAGTCTCCCGGTTTGAGCGCCCAAAAGTGAGGCCCGGCTGCGGCTGTGCCTTTTATTCGAATCTAGCCTTGGAATTGTATTTTTGTTTCTCAACTAGGACTGCCCTGTCAACGTGCAGGCTGGATGGTGCAGCTGTCACTCATCTGTCCAGCTGCGATGACTGTCCCTCTCATCGCTTCGAGTTATCACGTTTCTTCCCTCTAGTAATGAGGATGAGGTGTTCGGCAAGAAGAACAGGCTGCCAGCCGTTGTTCGCTGTCATCAAAACAAATGCAACATGCCGACATGACAAGATCGCTCTTTCATCAAGGAAAGCGTAGACCGTTTTGAATTCCATTCGTTCCACCAGCTGGGTCGACCGTACAAATTACGAGTATAAGGAGAGTAGCGCGCATTGTCCCTCATAAGCGATTGCTGACTGTCGAAAAGAGCTGGCCGTGCTTCAAACGCATTTTTTTTTCCTCAATGACTTGTCAAGGAAGAGGCCGCGCAAAGAAGTCTTGAAAGGGGCGCGCTTCTGCGGGTACAAACTTCGTGTATTCAAACCTTCTGTGGAGCGGTCCTCGGAAGCCTATTCAAGGTCTATGGTCAGGGGCTGCCCTTGTATGCAGGGCCATCTGTTTTACTCTGTATTCTTCGAGTGTACAGCTCTACCACGGTGTCCAACCTTACTGGCGGTCAGGACGATTAAACTTCTTCAGACCGGTACGCCTCGGGTCACCAAAGTATCGAAGGACAGCGTTTGATACAGACAGACTAGATCAGCCAAGACGAAGTGGGGGTGGCACGTCGTTTCGTTTGATTGCACCGGTCATGTCAGTCACACACACCAGGCCTTACAGGTCGTTTTTTTTAAAGAAGCTTTTCAGTGCTTATCACTTCTCATAACCACAACTTCAATAGATCGCGCTTAAAGCAGACCGTCATTTCAAAGTCTCAAGACCGTTCAAGTAGCCGGCGAGATGGTTGCCCTCTTGAGCATCTGAATCCGTTCATTGGAGGCAGCCAATGCACGCAAGCAAGGCAAGATGAGCAGCCACAGAAGGCACAAGTATCGCAACAAAATTGTCAGCTCCCTCCAAAAGACGACTCATTTTCCTATGATTTTGGCTAAATGTTTCTGCTTCGTATATGGTTGCATCTCTTTTCTTCACTTCATGATCCCAATGTAATTGGTGAACTGACCACAAGTCATACAAACTTCTCAACGCCATAGCCAATCCTAAGTTGATGAGTTTAGAATGGCCTCGAGTGACGCGCATGCAAAACACCAGACGATTTATCGGACTTGGTTATATGTCCGCCATAAGAAACATCAGTGTTCGCGTCTATTCGCATGCTGTACAGTCGGGCAGTGCCCAATACGCGACATTGCTTTGGACGTCCCACCACTCGGCTCTCCAACCGCCCTTGGAAATCCTGGAGCAAGTTCCTGCTGAGGCATTCTCAGGAAGGAGAGCACTGCACAATATGTCGTGAGGCGTCCCGTCTCGAGGCCGCCGGCGGCGGCTAAATACCGGGCGACGCAGCTACGCCGCCTACCAATGGAGTTGAGTGGTGGGTTGATTCCAGGAATCAAAACCGTCAGCTACGACATAGTACCGTCAAGGCAATTCTGTGCATTGGCTAAGCCAAATGTCGGTCCGCCAATAGCGACACCAGAACGTGATGATGGTGAAGAAAGCACCTTCCCCCAACGATCTGCTTGACTGGGCTTGACCGGCTGTAGATGAAGACTTGATTTATTCTCTCTTCGTATCGACTACATGTAGACGCTAGGTGCAGCGTGACGAGTTCACAGTCGAAGTGGCTCAAAGGACATCATTAAGCACGACTGAGCAAGGGCGACCAGGGTGCTGCGAACGTATTGATTCAAGATGCATATCACTCAGTCAACCTGCGCCGTCGTGGCGCGAAGCTCTCAGCTGCCGACCATGACAATTGGTGCCGTCAGCGGCTCTTCAAGCCGCATGGACCTTCTCCATCTTTTTTCAAGCTCGCAGTAGGTAAACAGGGAACGGCGAGGTTTCGCAGAGACCTTCCGAGAGATTACATGTACTCCCACGTCATGATCTTACACTGGCAGGCCGCTAGTCAGGAGGTGCATGCGGGGAAGCCGATCTGATAGACGTGGGGGCTCCGGCTGGTAGACGAAAAGACTGGGACTCCATGATTGTTCTGACGAGTGACCAGTGAAAGAGCTTTCCGGGATGGAGAGAGCACGAGAAAATAAATGTGCAGCAAGGGGCACAGTCGCTACAACAAAACACACGGCTGTAAAGAGCAAGAGGAACTGGCCTCGCTCGCCCAAGGAATGACGCCACGCGCCGCGACTTCAGACGATCCTCCTACAGTTACGCAACACCCGTGTTGATGCGAAAGCGAAAAAGGATACCATGTACAGGCAACCCAAGACTGTGGGTTCGTTCAGTGGGTACGGGTCCCATCCGTTGGAAAAGTGGGAAAGCGGACAATCGCATTTACGCATGAAAAGGACACGTCTCGTCAACACACATCATGTGCCGCAATGGCATCCCTGGGTACGATGGTGCCAAAAGGGCGACCCTGAAGTGTCTCGGAGGAGTTATGGACAAAGCTCCCAGACATGTTTCCAGGGTCGTGGGTCCCCCTTGAACCACATGCCGCTGACGAGGCTGGAATGCCCTTCTCGGAGGCTTGCGGTATGTAAGGGCGACCGAGGGAGAGAGGCCTCCAAGGTTTGTTGTCAATATCCCATCCGGCAGCTCTGAAGCTTGTTTGGCAAGGCAAGGCAAGGCCGGAATAGTCGTCAGTAGGGACAAGTTGTTTTCATGGCGTGGGCTTCATCGCAAAACGTGCAAGCCAGCAACGAAAGAGAGCACGTTGATCGGGTTGCGCATTGGGACTGGTCGCGATGGAGCATCCGCGCAAGGCTAGCATGATTAGCAGCAAACAAAAAGAGGTATAGCCGCATGGGTCGTTCAAGCGGTCATCAAGTGTCGTATCAGGGATGGCCTCAGGCTTTTCGCATGCGTCGCGCAGGGGTAAGAGGTCGGGTCAGAACCGCAGCCAAGAGAGGGAAGGGGACGTGAAAGGGCAAAAAGTCCGAAAGTACCGCGACTTGCGGCGAACATGCCGGTACAAGACAAGCTCGGGCCACCTGGCGTCAGCCCCTTGTCGCGCAACCCTGGACAGGGACTGACCGAGCCTGACTTGCGTAAGATTGCCCCCGACTCTTTTCATCTGCCAAACGGCCTGGACGCGGTCGGGCTGTGATGGAAACATGGGTCGTTGTGTTGCGTGCTGCGTGCTTGTGTGACCAACGTTCGACCAGCAAGGTGAGAGATGGGGGAAGGAACCATCTCTCGTTGTGTTTGCAAAAGCTCCTGATCATGGTGGCGGGCCGTAGTGGTGTGGCGAGCAAGTCAAGACTCGCGCACAGGGTTTTTGCGGTTCATGGTTCAGTGGAATGACTCACACTGGTCCAGGAGCCTCGGTCGTTGGCTCGTTGGCTTGTGCCCGCCGCCGCCCACCTGCCCAGCGTAAACCCGCGAGTGGCCGAAACCAGGTGAGATGCTTTGTCTGGTGATCGACCAAAATGTCGGTTGACGAGACATGGATGGATGGATGCCAATACGGTCGGGATTTCTTGATGATACACCTGGCAAGATTGCCCCATGCTGTCACGATACTCGCCTGGCCAGCTGAACTGAGGAGGCGACGCGACGTGCCATCGACGACAGATGTGGCGTAGTCCAGGAGACCGGAGGAGTCTTCAGGGGGGGCTGTCGTCTGCAGGTGCGAGTTGTGTGTGAAAGAGATGAGAAGCAGAAGAGTAGGATCGCTCAGAAGAGTCTGAGATCAACAGAAAGCAGAGCCATCAACAAGGAAGAAAGGGGGCCCGGCCCATCGTTTCAGAAGTGGAGGGCAGAGTGGATGCCGGGGGGTGGTTGGGCCCCCTTCTGGCGCAGGGGGGGATAGCGACTGGGGGTGGAAGACTGTTGGCTGGAGCGGCCATCACGCCGATGGTCGGTCGTCGACTCGTTCGCCCGACGGGACTGCGAGCTGGAGTCGGTCGACGTTCGTTACTGGTGCTGACACGACAGGCGCCCCCAGCGCGTCGTGGTCCAGTCCAGTCTCTGGGGCACGGCACATGCGAGGCAGCTGCAACGCGATGCGATGCAGTGGACCAGTGAGAAACGATGGACGAGAGGCAGGTGTTGTTTGAAAAGCCGGTCGGAGAGGATGATGACGATGACGGTGATGATGATGGTGATGACGATGGTGATGATGATGGTGATAATGATCAGGTGTAGGGGTGATGCAGACGAGATAAAAAGAAGAGGATGAGAACGAGGATGAAGCATAGGAGGAAAATAAAGAAAGAAAGGAAGAAGCAGGCGAAGACTCGATAATCGTGACCCTCTCCTTCCTCCTCGCTCGCTCTCTCTCTCTCTCTCGCTTCTCGCTAAGTAGGTGGTCCGCCCAGGGAGCAGCAAGGGCCGGAACAAGGAAAGGGGGAGAAGAAGAAAGGGTGGAGGAAGAGATTTTTCAGAGTGACCGACGGACGGGGAGATGATGCCATGGATGGATGCGCGCCACGACCGACCCGTTGCTGGGATTGGCTCGTCGCCCATAAGCTAAGCAGAGGCTTATCGATCTTGTACCGGTACCTCTGGCGGGATACGGGCTACCAAGGTGCGGATCTTAGGGGCTGGTGCAGGAAAAAAACGCAATCACGTCACCTGATTGGGTGCATCGACGGTAGCGCGAACGCTAGTGGGCGCCACACCACAACTTGCTGCCTGGGGGGGCAACTGCCTCGAAATTATAAGTAGTCGCCCTCCCCCTCCTGCCCGCCTCCAGGCCGAATTCGTACCGGAATCTACGACCCCTGCCTTACGTATTGTATCCTCTACGTTCGGCCTTTTTATTTTTCCCTCTTCCGTCCCCACAAAAAAGCACCCATCCGACCTCGACACTGACCCAGCGTCACATAATCATCACGACATTCACCCTTCATCACCGTCCGTCTACTCGTACCCCTCCTCCACCCCCCCCGACTAGACGTCGAACACAAACCACAAAACAAATCTCCGTCGAAGATCTCTTGCACTTCTTCACTGAAGCCGCCCGAATCGACCCGACGTCGAGCAACTTGTCGACCAAGTAAACTGAAACACGTTTCTTTGACTACCAAGGCCTCTCCTTCATTCGCGCGCGCGATACCTTCCTCGACGACGAAATCGGCAAGCACTCGAACCAGAGCCCGCACTCCCATCTCGTCGCCCAAGGTCGCCGCGCTCTGTAGACACATTCCGTGCTTTGCGCCCTGTTCTCTCGAATAGAAGATTTTCGTGCATTAGAAGTGACGTGGTCCGCAAACGTCAAGGTGGTATCTGGGAACCCGGACGCCTTGCGCCGACTTGAGAATTCGCCATAACGCCGATTCCTCTTTTTACCTCCATCATCTGCCTTGCTGAGCGCATTCGCGACTGGGCATCCGGAATTTTTGAGCCTTCACTGTAGGGGAGACATTCACTTGTTCATCTCCCACTTTTGGTAGGTGCTTTATTTCTTTTCCCACCCACGCCACTGAGCAACCTTGATGCCTGGCACCTTGGTCAACGACACATCTGTTGTTCTGAAGAGAATACGTTCCTGCCGTCTCGAGCTCCTTCCCGTTGTTTGGTGAATTTGGCCACCTATATATAAGGTCGCCAAATTCCCCCCTGCAACCGGCACTTCTGCGTTCGTTACCTACACACAACGGATTCCAGCACAATCAAATTACAGCCATCGCCGGTACCTGCCGTGCATGCCTTTTAAGATGCATTGTGCTAATCAGTTATGTAGACAGCTCTCAGCCACAAAGCATTCACGTCTTTGAGCATCAAGGAAACAGTCGCCATCATGGAGACCTCCAACATAACCACTCATCCCACCACGGTTGAGCAGGCCAAGGCCTTCACTGCGCCCGGCTCTCTGTCCTTCCCCGGCGGCGCCCAGGAGTTTGCTCCCCTGGCTCCCAACGGTCAGGTCAACAACCAGCAGGTCGCAAACGGCAATGGGGTGACTCCCGCGACCCCCGCTGCGACGCCTGGTGCCTTGGTGGGCGGTAGTGGCCTCACACCCACGCTTCAGTGAGTATCAACTTGATGGAGAGGGATCTTGTCTGAACGTGATGCTTACCTCCCGTCAAGGAACATCGTTGCCACGGTCAATCTCGATTGCCGCCTGGACCTCAAGACGATTGCCCTGCACGCGAGGAATGCCGAGTACAACCCCAAGGTACTACTTGCTCCATCAGTGACTTTCTCTTCACAAGGATGCTGACATTTTGTCCTCTCCAAGCGTTTCGCCGCTGTTATCATGCGTATCCGCGAGCCCAAGACGACCGCGCTGATCTTCGCCTCTGGCAAGATGGTCGTCACTGGTGCCAAGTCCGAGGATGACTCGAAGCTTGCCTCGCGCAAGTACGCTCGCATCATCCAGAAGCTCGGCTTCAACGCAAAGTTTACCGACTTTAAGATTCAGAACATTGTCGGCTCGTGCGACATTAAGTTCCCCATTCGTCTCGAAGGTCTGGCGTCCCGCCATCACAACTTCAGCTCCTACGAGCCTGAGTTGTTCCCTGGTCTCATCTACCGCATGATCAAGCCGAAGATTGTGCTCCTCATCTTCGTCAGCGGCAAGATTGTTCTCACGGGCGCCAAAGTCCGTGAGGAGATTTACCAGGCCTTTGAGATGATCTACCCCGTGCTGCAGGGTATGTTTCTTCGTGCTGTGTATTCGTGTCTTTTCCAGTGGCTAACTTGCTGTCTCAGATTTCCGCAAGGTCTAATCTAAACCTGCGCCTGCACCACTGCACAACATGTACGCGTCGGCTTGACTGCCTGATTGCGTGCAGCCCCCCCTTTTTTGTGATTTGTACCATTACACCCCCAATTCTCCTTCACGATACCACGAGAACATTTTTGCCCCCCCATTTCCAAGTCATGATTTGGCTGTCGTACGCTTGGCCACTTTAGTCTGAGGTCGGAGCGTGCCGCACCACAATTATGGCCTGTACCAATTGGTTCATTTCCCGCATTGCACTGGCGTTGGAGGGGAAACAAACAACGGCTGGAGGAGGGTCCAGCCGAGGCGGCTTGCTTCGAGGAAGAAAAGAACGCGCGTAGCAATACCACGATAGTAATTGCAAAAGAAGTACCGGTCGTTGACCAACACTTGAGGGATACATGAATTGTTTGGCCTGTAGCACACGTTGACTTTGCATGCTTGCGCTCCATAAATGACGTGAGGGATATGTTCATTAAATCCACTGCTGATGTCGTTCATCATTCAACTGCACATCCCGGAACTACATCTTGGCCCGACGGTTCTTGGTCAGCTCCTCGGCCAGCACGAGCCCCAATTTCCCGCCCCGACTTCCATCCTCCGTGACAATATGCTCGTACACCTGCTCGACGTCGTCGTCCCTCCTCTCGACACCGCGCCACCGCCACTTGTCATCAAACGCCTCAGGCCTCCGGCCCTCGACGCAATCGACAACGTGGTCGCCAATGATGGGCAGAAACTTGAAGCCGTGGCCGCTGCCGGCGGTGGCGAGGAACAGGCCCCGCCAGCCGGGGTGGTAGTCGACGAGGAAGTCGCCCGTCGGCGTGTCGGTGTACCAGCAGATGCGCTCGGCGGCAAAGGGGCGGTCGTGCAGCTGCGGCAGGGGCACGGTGGCGCGCAGGACGCGGCGCAAGTCGGCCTCGGCCTCGGCGGGGATGCACAGGGCCGGGTCGTACGGGATGGAGTAGCTGAGGGTCTTTTTTATTTGGGGGGCTGGGGGGTGTCGGAGGTTCTGGGGTAGGAAAGAATGGTAAGTGTAGATTATTGTGATTTTTTTTTTTACTAAATTTTTCTATGCTTTTAATCAGTATGGATGTATAGACGGGGTTAGTTTTTGGTGATGTTTTGTTGTAGCTTTTGGGGGGCGAAGGG